GTACACGTTTAACAAGTCAGCCTGGCTTGTGCCCGTTGCCAGTTCCTGTGGTATAAATATTTCCATCTGGACTGAATTCAGCTACCAATATGACAGCACCAATGCAGAGTTAAAAAAAGATGCATAGCAGCATGCTTTATGCACTATTTTACAATACAGCAATGACCTCAAGAGAGTTGACGATTGTGAAATGTAGGAAAATAGGAAATGAGTGTGAATACACTGGCCATTTTTCATTTTTATAATTCATTTTATTAAAAATTTATATAACTTGGCCCTTCCTGGTGGCTCAACAGTTTAAAGCACAGCACTAAGAAGCTAAAGTCACTTCTTCATGAGTTCGATCCCCGCCTGCCCTGGAGGTGACTCACATGGCGTGGCAGACCTCTCCTGTCTCTCCTGCTGCTCCCTTCAGCAGTGTACTTCATCGATCTGCCTGTTCTCTCCATACTCTGTCTCTGGTGAATCCTCTCACCACCCCTGCAACTCTGGCCTGTACCCCATTCTGTATGCATAAATTAATAAATCTTTAAAAAAATGTTTATATAACTTAATCTTAAACATTGCATTTAATAACCAGACTGCAAGATTCCTGAAAAATAGACCATCAGTGGGTGCAAGCTGGTCTGAGCCAAGTCCCACACAGGGGACATCTGGGGTTCAGAGGAGAAAATTGTTCTCTACTAGGAGCAGGAACTGAAAGGGGACACACATGACATCACAGCCAAGTCTTTGCATCTACATTGAGGGAAAAAACCAGTCTGGCTTAGCTAATCAGTTGGAATTATACAATTTAAAGGGCCATCTTTAATTCTATTACATTTATTACACACAGTTACTTCGACTGTTTCTCTTTCCGGTGTCAGTAACTTCAGTTAACCCCTCCCTCCTTGCTGAACCGTTTTCTTCCCTTGGCACCTCTTGTTCTTCCTTATTTTCCTCCCACACCAGCTTTCTGGGCTCAGCTTCCTCTCCTCAGCTCAGCATCTAAATGTTGGGGTGTCTGTCCATGGCTCAGGCCCTGGCCCCAGGTGCTTTGCTATGTACACTCTTCCTAAAGAGTTCAGTTCGCACTGAGGTTTTTAAATATTCTTGATTTACCAGTGAATTTTTATTCTTATAAAGCATTGCATGCAAGTAGTTTCTTTTTTAAGTCAAATAGTGCTAAAAAGCTCAGTTTTTATTTGAATTGCCTTATTTTATTGGGGTAATGTTGGTCTACAACACTGTAAGTGACATCACCACACCACATTCACCACCAAAGCACCCACAGTTCACCACCACGGTCTATCGCGCTCCTCCACCCCACCCCTCTGGTAGCCTCAATTTTATAGCCAGAATTCTAGGGTTTGTCTTTGGTTTGGTTGTATCTGATGCTTTTTGCTTTTGTTTCTCTGTAGTCTGCATGCGAGTGAAAAAAGTCCCATGGTTGCCTTTCTCCACCTGACTTGTTTTGCTTACCCTAATCCCCTCCTGTTTCACCCATGCTGTCACATGAGGCGACAGTTCACCTCTTTACAGCTGTGTCGTATTCCAAGGTCCATGGTGTATACATGCCACATCTCAGCTACTGGGCATAAGTTGTCCACTCATCTATCCACTCATCAGCTACTGGGCATAAGTTGTCCCCATAACTTGGGCTCATGTCTTGGGATTCTTGCTGAGTCCTCCGTGAGGCATCCTTCACCCCACTGCCGTGTGGAGCCTGGGCTGAGCCCTACACAGCCCACGGCCCCTCTCAGTGAGACTAACTCAGTGTGTGAGACCGGCCCACCCTTCAACCAATGTGAGGTCAGAATCCAGCCCACAGCGGGACTCACTCAGCACTCTGTGACAGGCGCAAGCGAACAGTATCATCACAGGGTGTCAGTCTGCGTCCCTCTCCTCCAAAGCCCATGCTCTCTGCACTGAATTCCCTCCCTCCCCGCCCCCTTAGTGAGCAGTGACAACTGCACTGGAGGCTTCCAGCTTTGCCATCATCCCTGGCAGGACATGTGTCCAACTCAACATGAAGATGCCTGCCTGTGACCATGAACAAGGACTTGTATTTCTCAAAGCTTGTGTTCACTTAGCCTTGGGAGATTATTGATGTTCCTGCCACTTTCTATTTCAGACTGTTGCTTGAACAGAAGAGATTTCCTGCACCCTGACAGCAAGCCCTGCGAGCATGGAACGTCCACACTTACCTGGTGGGAACTCTGCCCCACCCCTGTTGTACCACCTCGAAAGACATTTTGTGCTGGGGTGCCAGAACCAGGCTCAATGAGAGTTAGAGGGCTGGAGCTCTCCAGTGCCTTCTTGAGAGGGCATGGTGTCATCAGGGAGGACACCCAGTCCCACGAGGGAAGCATCTTGGGCATGAAGCTAGGACTCAGGCGAGGATTTTGGAGGACTTCAGTGTGACTGGGATCACACATACACTGAGGCAGACTCGGACACATGAGCACAGAGACTCAGAAAGTGAAGGGGCGAGTGGAGAGGGCTGACCCTCTGGGAAGCAAAGACACCACTTAGGAACTTAACTAGTGCATACCTCATGCTGGGAGATACAGCATCAAGACACTCTGAGCGGGTCCAGAAGGGACAAGGATGTGTTCACCCTGGGCTTAGGAAGATTCCACCAAAACATCAAATGTACCACAAATCGCTGTCACTGAATAGCTAAGAAGCCTTCTAAGTAGTAAGCATAAGAATTCCCTTACATCTGTATAACTTCTACCTGGCAAGCCATCATACCTATCTCTCTTTTCCCTATGCTTCCTTGAGGGAGCTCTCACTATGTCTGCAGAAAGGAGAATGGGGTACCCTCGCTTGTTGAGGATCACTTCGGTAATGAGTGTAGATTTGAATTCACAGCTGTGTCTGTCTCTGGTTCGGGGTCTCTCTAGCACACCACATGCTTGCTTGGACATTTCTGCTTGCCCCACCTAACTCTAACTCAGCACAAACGCTGAAGCTCCCAGGTCAAGATCAGCCAAGGGTTTTAGAAAGAGCAGATTTTGGCCTATAATCAAAGCAGGTGCCGAGTGTGTCAGCTGCACTTCCTCTCTTAACTCTTGGGCTCATGAGGTTGTGGGCTCACTATGTCATACATCACTCTTTGACTCAATCAGATGCTATTGAAAGAAATGCTGCGGTTTGTTTGGTTTTGACACATACCCAAGAATAAACTGCTTCAAAAAGCCTGTGAGCTTTTCAAAGGCATTATCATTTACGTCCACACAGAAGATGGTATCAGAAATGAAAGCAGTCTGGAGACGCTATTATTAGGTCACTTTTATTTTGGAAACTATTTAGGGCATCCATAGGGAAAATTGAAAATCCACAGTCTATTTAGCTGAGATCATGTTTTCTTCTGGGTGACATTCACCACAGCAACTGTGAGCAGGAAGGTGACCAGATGTACCTGTAATTAGGAGGGAGGCAGGTAGCTCAGACATCATAACATTGCCTATCTTTATTATAAAATAATGACTACTAAAGAAAATACAAAAAGATAGGGGAATATAAAAAGCACCTTAATCCTATCAGGCAGAGATGTAATCATTTCAGACTTCTATCCTATTTAGATGTACAGCCATATGCTGTATGGTGAAGTTTCCAGAAAGCAAATTACACACAGCACAATTAATTATGTTTGCCTTGCACTGATTCTAACAGGCTCCCAATCAGAAACCAGCCTTTCAAGCTTTGTCAAAAAGCTTGTTTATGTCAAAGCTCAGGAGAACATGGTGATTTGAGGATCTGCTGGACTTCCTGTTGATGTGATTTTGCTATTCTCCATGGAGTGGTAAGGTCAAGGTCACTAGTGACAAGAGAAGAGGTTAGTTTCCAAATAGGTGATCTTGAAGGTCAGTAAGGGGATTTTGTCTGGCTTTTGTCCATTTTGATCAACCAGTTTGTTTTCTTCTTACAATAACAACATATACTCAGTGCTACAAAACCTTAATGAAAGTACTACAGGAACAAGAACCTTTGTTATCTCCATTGAAATAATTGTTTTGTTAGTGCATTTGAAACACAGGACTTTTTAGGAGTTGACCTAATATAGCAGAATAGGCTCTCTCTACATATACATATTCACACATACATATATAATATATACACATATATGTAATTTCAAAAATAAAACTAGGACCATCCTATACATGATCTTGCATTCTTAATATAACAGCACATTATAAACATTTCCTTAGGCATTATAGATTCTTCAAAAATATGACTTTAATACCTCAAGTATTTCCTTTTGTGAATATAATATACATTATTTATCCACCCCCGCCCCATTTAACATTTTAAATTGCTCTCAATTCTTTTTGACTATAAAAAGTGCTGTGACAAACAGTGCTTCTCTGTCCCAATCTCTCATTATTTTCTTACAATAAATTTTAGAATATGAATTACCTTTAGGAGGCTTTCATGAGAATTATCAATAGTGCATATAAATCCCCTGATACAATGCTTGGCACTCAGCATGCATTCCATCCTGGTAGTTATAAACAGAATAGTAAGTCTCTAAGAGAATAAACAGATTCTGTCAGTGCAGAATTTGGAGAAAAATGAGTCCAGGGCTGATGTGATTTTGCTATTCTCCATGGAGTGGTAAGGTCAAGGTCACTAGTGACAAGAGAAGAGGTTAGTTTCCAAATAGGTGATCTTGAAGGTCAGTAAGGACTGCTATTCTTCATATTTTGAAGAATCTATAATGCCTAAGGAAATGGACAGGTAAGAGGATCAGAGCATGGGGCCGTTTTGCTTTGAGGGCAAAGCAGCCTGCAATCTCCAGAATGAAGTGACTTTCTGCACTTAACTCAGTGCAGTCGCCACCCTGCTGGCATCTCTCATCAGGCAGGTGTCGGCTGGCCCCCAGACAGCCGCTGTTGCAAGCGTTCCCCCTTCCTGGCGTGACAGGGGCCACTGAATGGCACTAGCTCCATTCTTTGTTCAGAGCCTTCACGAAGCAGAAAACTATGATGCAAGAACAAACACATAAATCACTGTGCTCTCAAAGATTGTTTATTAGCTATTTTCATTCCGATAAAAAATAAATGAAAATAAAAAAAAATAAATGCAATTGAAATTAAATGAGATGAAACTCCAACCAGGTTTCTTCCCCAAGATCCCCAGCTGGACAACACAAAGAAGAGATTAAGCAAGGACACCCTAGTTTCTTCTTGGCAGAGGGTAGGTCACGGTGCAATAAAACTTTTTAAAGAGACCAGAAGGCTTAGTAGAGGTGAGACACAATCCCACGGGAACCCAGGGGTCCGAGGGCATGGCTGGTCTGCATGGGTCTCCCCAGGCCAGGCGACTCTGTGGAATGTCCTCGGAGGTGGCAATTTCTGTCCTTTGATGGGAGGTTTGATTTCTGGACAGTCTGGTCACCTAGAGCTGGCTTGGATGAAACAGGTGTAATGAGGTTTTGCGAGGCAGTTGGGAGATAAATGCTCTGATCACTAAAATAATGAGACAATTTTTCTGATCTGGTCACAGCTGGCCCTCAGGGCCCTCCCCAGAGAGGTGTCATCTTTCCACCTACATCCAGCAACGTGAGAGTCCCAGGAATATGTGCCCGGCCTGCTGGCACAGGCCTGTTTGATGCTTCCACTCTGGGCTGCTTGTTAAAACCCCACTCCACTCCCTCAGTGCTCGCTGGGAGCTGCCGCTGGACTGCATTTCTTTCTTGAAATATGGAAGCCTACGAATTTAAAATAAATCTATATTTGGTCCAAGAGAGGCCGATTATTAAAAGGACTTCTATTCTTGGAGGGCTAAAGGCCAGGGGTACTTTTTTTGGCCCTTCTCCTTCCCTCCTTCTAAAGGCATGCCTCCCAGCCCACACAAGGACGCCTACATGTTTGCTCTTAGCAATGCCTGGCCCCCTGCATGACAGAGGTCATGAGCACCGGCAGTGAGTGGGTCTGCTCTGAGAACAGTCCTCGGGGTGGGAAAGCTGCAGCACCTATCACATTGGACATCCCCACTGTGTCTATTTTGAGGTCCAGACACTGCCTTGGGGCCTGTCCCAGTGGTGCCCCTTTCCTTCCTCCGACCCAGAGGTCCGAGGGCATGGCTGGTGGCAAGGTACCTAGACTTCTGGAATAGGGGTATTGCAGTTGCCATGGTAGATCTTGACATGGCCCTCACACCGGAAGTAGGCCTCGAAGACATCACTGTAGCCGTGGTCCCTCCACCAGGTGCAAAGCTGCCGGTTCCAGGTACAATCCAGCACATGGAAGAGCTCGGGGTGCTCCATGCCAATCATGGTGAAGAAGTCCTGGTCTCCCAGGTGGCCACGGAAGTGGTACTTGTCTGCCAGTTGCTGCACCTGTGTGGGTTCCAGGAGGCGGCTGTACAGAGGGGACTGGCGCATGGCCTCTAGGTTCAAAAGCATCACCCCACTGTTGAAGCCAGGAAGCCCCTCGGGGGGAGGGCTGCCAACCCGGGTCTTGGGGTTCTCGTGGCGGAACTGCCAGAACGTGTGCCTGAGGAGGGGGAAGAGAGATTTAGTCCAGTTTAGAGTGGTGTAACAGTTTTACCCTGCCTGGCCTATCTCCCTGGGGCTCCACCACTACCCTGGAGGAGGGAAAGAGAGAAGACACCTTGGTTCTACAGCCACAAGAACAGACAGGCTGAGGTTTAGACTCTCATCATCCCATCAGCAGAGGCAGAGCTGGGGCTCGGGCTCTGGCCTCCTGACTGCCGACCGCATACTCTCCCCACTACCCTCTGCTGAAGAGCATCACTGCCCCCACCGACACTAGAATAGGTTCATGTGTGCTGTGCACCGCACCGTCGGCTTACATGCCTCGACACGGCCAGCAAGATGGAAGGTCTATGAGATCATACGCCCCTTCAGCGCTGAGGAAACTGAGGCAAGGGCAGGGCCACTCACTTGTCCAAATCACACAAACAGCAAGCACCAGCCGCAGGGGCCCGACGCAGGCCTCTGGCTCCCGGACCCACTCCCTTAAGAGAGCAACTAACTAGCAGAGCTTTCTACCCTCTGTCCTTGTCTGTGATCTTGGAAAGGAGAGGACAGAGAGGCAAAGCTGTGGGGAGCCACACACCGGTTGAAACAAAATTGTTTTCTGCTTTAGAAGAAATCTCAGGTGTGAATGCCCCATGCTGGCATGCCGAAGGCTGGCACTGTAGCTAGAGGCCCAGCACAGCCCAGCACCTCCGCCAGGGCTTAGGCTGGGAACAACTGTGGACACTCAGGGAAAACAGTTATTTTAGAGAGACGATCACTTCAATTTCAATTTTTCTCCAGGCAGACTTTCAACATAGGTCCGAAGTTCCTGGGCTGTGGAGTCCTTGGTCTGTCCTCTGTGCGCCTGGCGAAGGGAAGGCAGCTCCAGACACCAGCGAGCAGCAGGGCTGGAGGGCTGTTCTGTTCTCCACCCTTCTTGATGGCCACTTCCTGGGTGTGTGCCGCCAGGGTGGGCGGCAGGAAGGGGCAGAGAAAATGGTTCGGCATCCCCAGAAATGCGACACAGTGGGGGGCTGTGTCTCCGAAGACGGGGAAGAACTGCGGCAGCTCTGTTACGGACAGTGGGCGGGCGAGTGTGCTGCTTCAGACGATGGCCCACCTATTTTTACCAGTTTCACCCTCCCTAGAGTCCTGGGCGTGGTTTTTGCGGCAAAACCCCAGACTTCCCCCACCCCCACCCCCACTACACACACACCACCAATCAGAGGCTGGGTGGTGTGGGAAGTGTGGGGTGCAGTGGAAAGAAAACCAGAGCCCCGGCCAGGGCAGGCCACCGGAATGCTCTGTCCAGTCCCAACACATGTCTCGGTGTCTGAGAAAGGAGCAGCCTTCCTTGGGGGCTCGCCTACCACAAGGGGCGCCGAAAGTTTGACTGTGGCGAGGGGGAAGCAATCTCCTTGGACTGTACAAGCAGCACACACAGGTTCACTGTTCGATCTTTGCCATAATTTGACTGTAAGAAGAACAGAGCCCTGGCACCTGCTTGGTGATAACCACCTCAGCAAGACCAAGCTTCCAGAGCAAACTGAGATGCTGGAGTCTTTCTGGCTGCAAAGGCCAGGGGCTTGGGCTGCAATTGGACCACTGTTTGTTGCTTTGACCATATTTTCTTGAAATGGTTCATTTCAGGACTAGGTAACAAACCAGCTAAAGTTCTACCAAACAGACCTAGGCCACCAGAGCATGGCCGAGGAACAGAGGGGGCCCAGGGAGGGATGGGGGGGCTGTCTTGCCAGGGCCCTCAGGGGAACAGAAACCTTCAGCAGGGAGGACAGATGGGGAACGGGGAAGACAGCGAGGGGTGGGGCACAGCGGGTGCCTGTGGAAGCCCCAGAAACCTCAAGCCCACCAGGCATGTTGTCTTGACCCCGGGGGTCAGCCAACTAGGGGAGACAAGACTGGCTGGTGGCGTGGGGAGTGTGGTCACCCCACTGTCCCCCATCTGTGATGTCTCCCCAGGATGCCATTGCTTCTGCTTCCTCAGCACCTGGCACGGTACCCAGCATGGCAGGGCCTCAGGGATGACAGAGGAACCGCCCAGGAATGATGAAGAGGCCGGTGGGCCCGGGCTGCCCGGTCCTCACATCAGCCAGAAGCAGGGACAGGAAAATGGTAGGACACAAAGTGGCAGCTGCTGCCAGCACATCGGCAGCTCCCCAGAGGTGCACTCAGTGCCACACCCCTGAGGGGCCGCGGGCCAGGAGAGGGGCCCAGGGGTTTGTAAAAGGGTTTCTACTCTAGAAGGAGTTGGGGAGCAGAGAGGCCACCCACAACCCCATAGCAGCCTCAGCAGGGAACTCCCCCCGCCCCCCCCAGTCTTCCTCTCTAAGCCAGAGTGACTGGCACTGAGATCCCTGGGCCCAGGAGAAAGGGGCTGGAGGAAGAGGGAGAAGAATAGAGCATCCTTGCCGTGGAGGCCACGACCGTGTGGGGACATAACGCCAAGCACTGCCACTCCATGAGGACAAAGAGGCGTCTGATAGCCAAGAGCCAGAAAGTACCAGGCCTGGGACTGCAGCACATTATGACCTGAAAAAGGAGGGAGAGGAAATTGGATAATGCTAGCTGCTGGGGACGTCTGCTGAAGCAGAAACGGCCGGAAGGAAGCAGTGTGTCTCTGGGTACAAAAGTCAGTGCAGCGCACCCCTGTTAATACGTCCCTGCTCCAGCCACACACCCACGCAACGGTGCTCACAATGACGGCGGGCTCTGGCACAGAAGCCCACAGCACGGGCCCCGCCGAGAGCCGGGGCATGGCAGGCCATCTAGGTCTGTGTCGTGACACTCCATGCCGGCCCCGCAGTGGTGACGCGCCCTCAGGACACAGAACGCATCCCTCAGAACGCAGCCCCGTTCTTCAGTGATGTGTGACTGCACTCTAGAATGAGCCCAGAAAAACGGCAGCCACGCAGGGAGCGGCAGGCTTCCCTGGCTCTGTATCGGCCCGTTCATGTGGGGCGTGTGCCAGCCAGGAGTAGAGAGAATGACCTGGGGGTCTGGAAGGGCTTGTGGGAGGGCTGTGACCCCGCGTGGACGGGCCCAGCAGGTGGTCGCCCTAATTCCTCACTCGCCATGGCACGGTGACACCTCTCCCCCTCCCAGGCAGTGCAGGGACACCATTGCTGGCATTATAACAGGGAGGGGACAGACGTCATCCGTGGGCAGAGCCCCAGCTCGAACGCAGGGCTGTTAATCTGAAGGTCCCTTTCATCTCTGCTCAGATTCCACGGGCCCAGCACTCAGGTTGCAATCTTATTTCTGAAATTACCTGCTCCACCCTAAGGGCATACACTTTGGGCGCCAGGTGCCCAGTGAAGAAGCCGCTACTGGCCCTTCACTGGCTCAGGGGCCAGACCTGAGAGCCGGGTGAGTGGATGCCCCAGAACCTTGCCTCACTCCCAGGACTTGGAGCTGCATTATAAATTCACAGGGCATTGCCAGGGGCACGTGCTGAGGCTGCAGGAGACCTCTGCAAGAATACCGGGACCTGGTCTGAGTACTGGTGCTTCCAGAAGCTTCTCAAATTAACCTCCCACCTCCGCAGCCTCGTCATGTTCCCCTGAGTTGGGGTCTGTGCTCGCCCAGTTCCCATTCCTCAAGTGTACTTGAACACCCAGAAGACCCACCCCAGAGAGGTTAAGGTTTCTTCCCCCTTGGAAATAACCTCAACCCTGAAACAAGTTCCTGTGCAGGCTGTCCACTGTAAAGACTGACTCCTTCCAAATGATCTTCCAGAAGGAGGCTCATTGGGAAAATGCAAATGAAGACCCTTCATGCACATTCTTCCACTCGTGGGTGATGAATTTTCTAAATTTTTCATAGCAAGTACATCCTCATTGATACTCATTAAAAAAACCACCAAGTCAGTTTTCATGACGGGGCCCATCGTTACCGACAAGGACGCTAGAAATCATTTTGAAAAGCAAAGTCATTTTCTCTCTTCAAGTCTTATCCTGATGATCACAGCCAAGGTCACTCCAAGGCTCTTAATGAGAGACCCTGGCCAGGGTTGCCAGCAGAGAACAAGTTGTGAGGAAATCCTTTCCTTCTACCCACGAGCCCAAATCACAATCCCACACACCTCCCTGCCTCGCCATGAATTTCTTCTCTCATGTTGGCCTTTGTCAGTGCCTAAGGCTCAGAGCTTTCCACTCTCACTCCCAAGAGGGAAGAAGCAGGGATGGTGATACACACCGAGTTGGGGCAATTGCATAAGGCTCCCCAGGAAAGTTCTAGAAGCTGGTTCTGACTCGGACTGAGTGTAAGCCATAGACTCTGCAACACAGAAGACTGTGTTTTGGGATGGGATGCCACACGTCTCCTGCCGGGGCTGACCCTCCAAAGCCACTAAGGAACAAGCAAGGCTCGCCTCCCTGGGAGGAAGCTGGATGTGTCTAATCAGCGGAGGCTGGAATCAGGAAGCACTAGTTCCCTGATGCCCGTGCTTTGTACCAGGCCCAATTAGCTCTTGTTTGACGTGGAAGGGTCAAAGTGTTTCAGTCCTCTGGGAGGAAAGGCCGAGTGAAGAGCAGTAGGGCAGGGCAGTGTTGTCCTGTGAGGTGGCCTGGGGACAGCGCTGGTGGCTCGCACAGAGCTGACTCCAGGGCAATGACATGGTGCCTAGGCCCACTTGGAGATGGGCTGAAGTTCTATGGGTGGCACCGATTCTTCTGTTCTATGGGATCCAATTGGCACCTGGCTTTCCACTGCCACTTCCCTGGCACATTCCCAGGGCCAAGCGCAAGTCATATTCATCAGGCGCTCTTGCTGGCAAGGCCTGAAACAGGTTTAGGTCTATAAATTTGCTGAAGAGAGGTAAGGTTTGTTCCCCGAGTCGCACAGGCTAGGCAGGACCGAGAGCATCCCTCCTGGCACCACAGCCCGGCAGAGCCTGAAGACACTCAGTGACTCCTCGTTCAAGGACAAGAAAGCTGAGGCTCAGAACGTGCCTGTGCATAATCACAGCCAGATCTGTCATGTGTGTGTTTCCAC